AGTCCTTGTTTGTGCGTTGATGACCATATTTATTTGCGTATATGTTGCAGGTGTTTTGCCATCGAGAATGGTTAGTCCCCAGGTGCCGGAGAATGTCCTCGACGACCACAATGCTCCGACGACGAGCTCGACCTTCCTGCCCATAAGAGGAGGTGTGGTGATGGTGAACAATAAGACGGCCCGGGCAGAGGACGACTGCAGTGTTATCTGCAACGACGAGAATTGTCAAAAGGATTACCCAAACTTGTGTGGTCCCGATTCAGATCCTAACTATTGCTGGGTGGGTTGCTTCTGTACTCGTGACAGTGGTGAGTTGTACAATTATTGTACTTGTTTGTGCACTGCATAATAACGTAACTTCACACTCTCAAGGACTGCGTGCGTGTACCCATTTGCTTTGCTTTGCTTTGCTCTCTCTTTTCGTCTTCGCCGGTTCCCGGCCGGTTGGTTCACGCCCTAATAATTTGTGTGGGTGTGGGTGTGGGATGTTTTCTTTTCATCGACTATCATCAGTATGCTTTTTTCCAATGTTGTGAGAACCGAACCGGAGCATGACCTAGTAATGCGAACGGCTCGTACTTTAGTGGTCCAACCGGCAATAGACCGTTTAAAAACCGTTAGAGAACCGGTACCTAATAAACATTATCAGTATAAATAGTAGACATTTCTTAATTAGAGCTCATCTCTTTCCTTCGAAATTGTGAAAAGGAAATAAGGATTCAGTTTGAGAGCCAGACGTTTTTTATTTATTTCAATTTTCAATTTTCTACAATTTTTTTAATTAAATTTAGTGGCTCAATGGCAAAAACCGGACGAGCGGCTCGATCGGCTCGAATGGTTAACCGCCTCGGCCGCTCGCCAACCGCTACATAAAACCGGAGCGACTTTTAGACTGTTTCGAGCAGATTTTGTGATCGGGTGACGGTTTACCGGCTTTAATAACACTGCTTTTTCCCTTCATAAAATAAATTAAGTGAAATACAGATAACTGTTGCCAAATGTAAGTTCTCATGTACTTTGTAGGACTGAGACTATCATCGGTATGGTTTTTTTCCCCTTCATAAAATAAACCGGACATCCAATATGTGGAATTGAATTCTCATTTGTAGGGTAAAATACCTTGGATACCACTTAAGTTTCAGAATTAGGACATGCATACCACTTAAGTTTGAATAGGGCGTCGCGTACCACTGAACTCTATTATTTGTGCACCCGGTACCACTTAAGTTTAATGTTTAGTGCATTCTGTTAAAGTTAACAGAATATTCTTGGAATATTCTGTTTTCTAAATTTCTTAATTGGTCCTTCTACTTTTCTTATTGTAAAAAATCATTTTGACTTATGAAAAACATCAATTTTTATTATTTAATTGGTATCCTCTTTTGAAAACTTGATACCAAATTAATTTTTGAATAGAAAATTTAAAATCAATTATTATTATAAGTATTTTTAGTTATCATTATGTTTTCTAATAATTGAATTATTCTCTTTTTTTAAGATTTTGATACCAAACCAATTTTTGAATAGGAAATGTAGAATAAATTATCATTATAAGTACTTTAAATTAACATTATGTTTTATAATAATCGAATAATTTGCTTAAGCAAATATATCCTATGAATTCTATATCGATATAAATAATATGAGGATGTTATATTTAATTCTCGTACATCATCTGGATGTTGTATAATTTTCTTGGTTACTTCGTTCTATTTTCGTTCTAAATTTTCTTCAATTACTGCAATATGTTTAATTCTTTCTAACTATGTTCCATTTATCCTTCTTTGGACTTGATGTATTGATGATCGATTAGATTTTATTTTAACTATTTTAATGGTACTTCTTATCTGATTAGTGATTTAAATAGATCTTCTAATATTTATTTTAAATATTTATTATTATATTCTATATATTTAGTATTCTTCTTGATAATTGTTTATTATTTTTACTAAATCATCTATTATATTGAAAATTTTGATTAGTCATTTTAGTAATATTATGTTTAGAAGGTTTTTTAATTTCTATATTGGATAAAAACTTGTTGAAATATAGTTTTGGATGTTTTTAAAAGTTTTGGATACCATTTTGGTGACTTTAATGGTACCCGACGCCCTATTCAAAGTTAAGTGGTATGTCTGCCCCAATTCTCAAACTTAAGTGGTACCCGAGGTATTTTACACTACTTGTCGTCTTGTCTCTACCAACGTACCTCTCAACTCTCAACCCAACCAGCGACGTACTACACATAAGAAGACAAGACAAAGAGGAGTTTGCTTCCTCGTTACTCCATCAGAATGTGTGTCAGAGAGAGAGAGAGAGAGAGAGTCAATGAAAACCCAGGTCAGGCCAAAATGTTGTTCTTTTCTCCCATAACAGGACAAAACTTTTTTCAACCTTGTTCATAACTTTTATTATTAGTTTAATGTAGCTAATTGACTTGGATAAGCCCATAAAAAAGAATTTAGTTGGTTCTAAGTTCAAACCAAAACTGAATTGTCCAGGGGCGGAGCTAGAATTTATCGTTTGGGAAGGGGGGGGGGGGGGCGGAGTTTACATTACCGCAAAATCTAAAAATACAGGAATAATCATAATATTAATACAACTTTATATAGTACAAACACACTTAAAAATTCTAATCAAATTTTATCACAATTCAGAAAAATATAAAAATGATTAATAATGTATTTCAATATTGTGTACCTCATTCATTATATATCCGAAAGTATCCTTAAAATGGAAGATATTAATTGATATAATTTTAATTTATTGAACTAAACAAACAAAATACTAAACTTAAATTATTAAATTGATTCTTTTATTCAAAGAATCTTTAAAATTGAAGGATTTAAGTATTTAATTCGAAATAAAATGCTTGATTTAAAGTCAAAGTGATTTGTTCAGAGAGATAAAGTATATTCAAAATTGAAGGAATAGTTATCTAATTTAAAATTAAATGTTGGATTTATAGTGAAATTGATACTTCCGGAAAAATAAGAAACGGAAAAGCTACTTAATGCCTAAACCAAGAACTTAATTCTCTATTAATTTTGGTTCTTCGTTACTCCATCAGAATGTGTGTCAGAGAGAGAGAGAGAGAGAGAGAGAGAGTCAATGAAAACCAAGGCCAGGCCAAAATGTTGTTCTTTTCTCCCATAACAGGACAAAACTTTTTTTAAACCTTCTTCATAACTTTTATTATTAGTTTAATGTAGCTAATTAACTTGGGTAAGCCCATAAAAGAGAATTTAGTTGGTTCTAACTTCAAACCAAAACTAAACTGTCCAGGGGCGGAGCAAGAATTTATCGTTTGGGGGTGCCAGAGTTTACATTACCGCAAAATCTAAAAATATACTAATTATCATAATATTAATACAACTTTATATAGTACAAACACACATAAAAATTCTAATCAAATGTTATCACAATTCAGAAAAATATAAAAATGATTAATAATGTATTTCAATATTATGTGACTCATTCATTATATATCCGAAAGTTTCCTTAAAATGGAAGAAATTAATTGATATAATTTTAATTTATTGAACTAAACAAACAAAATACTAAACTTAAATTATTAAATTGATTCTTTTATTCAAAGAATCTTTAAAATTGAAGGATTTAAGTATTTAATTTGAAATAAAATGTTTGATTTAAAGTCAAAGTGATTTGTTGAGAGAGACAAAGTATATTCAAAATTGAAGGAATAGTTATCTAATTTAAAATTAAATGTTTGATTTATAGTGAAATTGATAATTTATGGAAAAATAAGAAAGGGAAAAGCTACTTAATGCCTAAACCAAGAACTTAATTCTCTATTAAGTTTGGTTCCTCGTTACTCCATCAGAATGTGTGTCAGAGAGAGAGAGATTCAATGAAAACTAAGGCCAGGCCAAAATGTTGTTCTTTTCTCCCATAACAGGACAAAACTTTTTTCAATCTTGTTCATAACTTTTATTATTAGTTTAATGTAGCTAATTGACTTGGGTAAGCCCATAAAAGAGAATTTAGTTGGTTCTAACTTCAAACCAAAACTGACTGTCCTGGGGCGGAGCCAGAATTTATCTTTTGGGGGTGCCGGAGTTTACATTACCGCAAAATCTAAAAATATACTAATAATTATAATATTAATACAACTTTATATAGTACAAACACACATAAAAATTCTAATCAAATTTTATCACAATTCAGAAAAATATAAAAATGATTAATAATGTATTTTAATATTGTGTGACTCATTCATTATATATCCGAAAGTATCCTTAAAATGAAAGAAATTAATTGATATAATTTTAATTTATTGAACTAAACTAACAAAATACCAAACTTAAATTATTAAATTGATTTTTTTATTCAAAGAATCTTTAAAATTGAAGGATTTAAGTATTTAATTTGTAATAAAATGCTTTATTTAAAGTCAAAGTGATTTGTTGAGAGATACAAAGTATATTCAAAATTGAAGGAATAGTTATCTAATTTAAAATTAAATGTTGGATTTATAGTGAAATTGATAATTTCCGGAAAAATAAGAAAGGGAAAAGCTACTTAATGTCTAAACCAAGAACTTAATTCTCTATTAACTGCTTAGTGCTTACCATGGAAAAAAAGGAAAGCTACAATTGCTTCTCTTGGGAATCGAAACCAAGATCTAGAGCTCCAATTAAAGCAAAAATATAAAGAAAAATTAAACAGAAAAAAACATGTAAAGAAAAGGAAAACCAAATATGACACTGCTCCATTTAATACTTGTTCCACTCCATACAAAAGTGACAGGACTACTTCGTGAGAGAGAGAGAGAGTTTAATTAAAACCAAAACCAGGCCTTTGCCATTTTTGCCTCTCACCATCTTCATCATTCTTCCCATTTTTCCTCTTCCAGCCATTACCCAAAACGGGTCTGGCCTCCCTGATGCAAGTTTCTGAGAACTTTTTTTTTGCAACCTTGTCGGTTTTCTTTAAGATGGAGCCTGTTATAAAGTTTTCTTCCCCTCCATTTCACTACCAAGCTTGCCTTGTCATTGTTACCAAACCAGAAAATGAGTAATGCAACTAGCTATCTTCCTGTCCCCATCAATGAAGATGTCCTTCCTCATGTCAACATCTCAGTGGGGGACGAGCATGAAGCTTGTGAAAACTGCTGCACTACCGTCCACAAACGATTTGGATGGTTCCACTACACAGCAGAGGCAATGGCTGCCTCCATCATCATCCTGGCCTCCTACGACAACGATGACAACAACGGTGAGAAGAGCTATGCACAACATAGAGCCCTCCTTATTGTCGCTTCCGTTGAGATGTTGAAGACTAAGGTGGCCGAGCTGCTGGAGGCCGAGGAAGCGAGAAAAGCAGCAGCGGCGGCGGGAGGAAGAGACGGTGGTGGAGAAGATGCTTGATTCGTAGGTTCTGGAAAACGAGCAGTCGGGTACCACTGAACTCTATTATTTGTGCACCCGGTACCACTTAAGTTTAATGTTTAGTGCATTCCGTTAAAGTTAACAGAATATTCTTTGAATATTCTGTTTTCTAAATTTCTTAATTGGTCCTTCTACTTTTCTTATTGTAAAAAATCATTTTGACTTATGAAAAACATCAATTTTTATTATTTAATTGGTATCCTCTTTTGAAAACTTGATACCAAATTAATTTTTGAATAGAAAATTTAAAATCAATTATTATTATAAGTATTTTTAATTATCATTATGTTTTCTAATAATTGAATTATTCTCTTTTTTTTAAGATTTTGATACCAAACCAATTTTTGAATAGGAAATGTAGAATCAATTATCATTATAAGTACTTTAAATTACCATTATGTGTTATAATAATTGAATAATTTGCTTTAGCAAATATATTCTATGAATTCTATATCGATATAAATAATATGAGGATGTTATATTTAATTCTCGTACATCATCTGGATGTTGTATAATTTTCTTGGTTACTTCGTTCTATTTTGGTTCTAAATTTTCTTCAATTACTGCAATATGTTTAATTCTTTCTAACTATGTTCCATTTATCCTTCTTTTGTCTTGATGTATTGATGATCGATTAGATTCTATTTTAACTATTTTTAATGGTACTTCTTATCGGATAAGTGATTTAAATAGATCTTCTAATATTTATTTTAAATATTTATTATTATATTCTATATATTTATTCTTCTTCTTGATATTTGTTTATTATTTTTACTAAATTATCTATTTTATTGAAAATTTTGATTAGTCATTTTAGTAATATTATGTTTAGAAGGTTTTTTAATTTCTATATTGGATAAAAACTTGTTGAAATATAGTTTTGGATGTTTTTTAAAGTTTTGGGTACCAAAAAGTAATTAAAATGTTGGGTTGGATGAAAAACTAGACGGATGCACATTTTGGTGACTTTAATGGTACCCGACGCCCTATTCAAAGTTAAGTGGTATGTCTGCCCCAATTCTCAAACTTAAGTGGTACCCGAGGTATTTTACCCATCATTTGTAGGATTGAGACTTGATGTACATTTAATAAACATAGATTTATGATTTCCGCTTATGTAAGTTCCAAAAAATTGTTATTTGAATTTCAAGGCTTTGCATTATGGATATTTATGAAAATTTCAGTGCTATTATTTTTCCAAGTCCTTTCGTTCTATTCTTATTTTGGTTAACGGTTTAACAAAAAAATTTTGAGTATCCAGCCGGGTTAGGGTGTTACAAAAATCATACTTCAAAAATCGACAAAAATATAGTAGGTTTTAGTGATGAAGAACTATGTCCGTCGGTTATAATCCGTCAGAAATAATGTTATTCCCCATAAGGCGAAAAAAGTCATTGGAAAAAATGTTCCAACTCGTCACAAAAAAGGAAAAAAATGAGGACGCTTATACCGTAAACTAATTGAAGCTATTTTGACGATATAGAAATCATTTGCGAGTAGAATTAATCATCGGTTGATTATGCAAAACTTCATAAGAAATTGAAAGTTATATAAAATTCAGTGGTACCCGACGTCCTATTCAAACTTAAGTGATATGTCTATCCCAATTCTCAAATTTAAGTGTTGCCTTGTATTTTTTACCAAAAACTTGTACAGCCATTATTTCGAGGCTCCTCACATGAAGCCCAAAGCGACCCAACGAAGCTGTGTCAATACCTCCGGCCCAAATTACCCAACCTCCCCTTTTCAGCTTTCCAATCCTCCATTCCGTTGTTGTTGGAAGAGAAAAAGCTCACCAACTGCGAAAAATGGCAACTGCCCTGGCTCGAATCTCCCGGAAGGCCCTAGCGGTTTCTCTCTCTCAGCACCTCCAGCTCATCGTCCGTGCCGTCGCAACGGAGGCGGCATCGTTAAAAACGATCACTCCGTCGCCAGATCAAGTGAAATGGGATTACCGAGGTCAGCGGCAGATAATCCCGCTAGGCCAGTGGCTCCCCAAGATCGCCGTCGACGCCTACGTTGCACCAAACGTCGTCCTCGCCGGTCAGGTTAAGGTTTGCGATGGAGCATCTGTGTGGAATGGCTCGGTACTCCGGGGCGATCTCAACAAGATCACTGTCGGATTCTGCTCCAATGTTCAGGAGCGGTGTGTCCTTCATGCCGCCTGGAATTCTCCAACAGGTGTGTAGATTTCTTCAGCATCATCTCCAAATTTTTCTTTGTGTTAGCACAATTAGTCTTTCAATGGGCGAATTTCGTTGATGAATGTTGTTATTTAGGTGTCGTTTGCTTGTTGGATTTGAAAAATGAGGGTTTTGGCCAATAAAAACCTTGGGATTTTTGTTGGATTTATTGGATTATGGATTTGAAGAGTCTAATGTTTGCATGATAGATTTGATGATGGATTTGTGATGGATTTGTTAAATAAATAACTAACCATCAAAGATTTGCAAATCCCAAATCAATATGTGGGATTTACAAGTCCGTGGGGTCCACGGATTTGGTTCCAAAATAAAGACCAAATCCGTGGACCCCACGGATTTAGCACTCTTCAACAAACAATGGACTTATGTTAAAATCCATCGAGCTTGAGATTTGAGAGATTTTTGTCATCGATTATGGCAGTTATGCTTATGCCCGATGTGCTACAATCTGTAATTCACTGTGTTATCAAGTGAATGTAGTAGTACACATTGGCAGCCATTCAGCAGATTTGGAAGCTTGTTTATAGGTAGTAGGTTCCCTTTGTAGGGTAATAGAAAGAGCAAACCTTCTGTGGTTGCTACTAAGAGAACTGTAACTCAGTATGTCTTGTATAGGATATTCAATGTTATCAGATGGTTCCGATGTAGTACTAATAAGACTACATTTATAATCCTTGAGGTGACTTGGTCGTTTGGTTTGTCTGGTAGATTTTCACAGAACTGGTTTTTGTAAGGGTATAGGAGAAGATGGAAGGGAAGCAATTGGAGGAACTATATTTGGTGTTGGAGGAGAATTGGTCTGTGAAGGTGGGGAAAATGAATGTGGCTGTGAAGAGGAACTTTGGACAGGGTTTAAGGTAGGAGGATGTGTGTTGAAAAAAGGTAGTAGTAAAAGAGTCTCAATCTGGTAAGGATTGAGAGTAAAATGGTTGTGATAGAGAAGGAATAACAGGTGCTGTACATGTTTGATAGGAGAATATGTTTTCTTGAAATACCACATCTCTTGAGATGAAAATATTATGGTTGGTTAGATTATATAACTTGTACCCTTCGGTACCAGTAGAATGTCCTAGGTGAACACAAGCTTGTACTCTAGGATCTAATTTGGTTATGACAGCTTGCATTGTGGAAGCATATGTTAAACAACCAAATACTCTTAAGATAAGAGAGATTTGTGTGTTTTATTGTAGAGCAAGTGAAATGGAGTTTTATTGTTTAGAAGTGGTGTAGGAGATCTATTAATGAGATGTGCAGCATGCATTACTGCAAAATGCCAAAAACAGCTGGGCAAAATAGCTTGAAAGAGTAATGCCCTCAAGACTGATAAGAGATGCTAATGTTTTCTCTCAACAATACCATTTGGTTGAGAGGTATACACACCTGTAGTCTGATGTAATGTGCCCTGTGTATGAAAGAAATCAACCATCTGAAATTCAAGCCATTGTCTGTTCTAACAGTCTTAATAGTTTTGTTAATCTGAGTAGCAATTAGAGCAAAGAAGTTAGTAATAATATAACCTTGTTTCAGATTTTTGTTTCATAAGAAAAACCTAGGTATGCCTGGCATAATCATCAACTATAGTAAGAAAGTAATGATTATCATTTATTGATGTAATATTAGCTTGTTCCCAGATATCAATTGTAAAAGATCAAAAGTAGTTTTAGTCTTATTTGTACTAACGGGAAAAGGCCAATGCTTTTGTTTATCCTTAAGACAAGCAGTGCAATGACAATTGGGAATACTAGTTACATGACAATGTGTTAAATCAAGAATTTGTAGTTTGTTGGCAGGGAGATCTCTCATCCTGTAGTGCCATAGGCAGTGGTGAAGCCAACTTACTGGCTGGGGGAGCCATGGCCAACCCGGGAATTTAGAAATTTTTATATAATAGACTGAGCTGTGCCTGTAAATGAACAAGATTTTCCTATAGCCAATTTGGTTAAAGTTTGGATTATGTTGTAAAGGTCCCGTGTTTGATAATTTCCCGCCGTAATTTCATTTAGCTATTTTTTTTGTATATTCATTTTTTAGTGTATGATTAGAATCATTGTTTCGAGTTTTTTTTTTTTCTGACAAAGTTCAAACTACTGAGTTTGATACCTCATTTGTGGTTTAAGCCTACAATTATTCACTTTCCAACACATCAATGTAAGATGGAATATGTATGATGATTTTTGTTATTATTAACCTATACGTTGAACAAGATACATATAATTTTGGGTTAGCCTTTCTTGAAGGAGTTTAATGATGTAAAGCACACGTGCATAGCAAAAATAAAATTTTTCTTTGTTAACTTTCATTAAAAAAATTTGGCCACCCAAATTTAAAATCGTGGCTTCGCCACTGGCCATAGGTCAACCTTCTTTCTTCTATTGAGATTTAGGAAAAGCAGCAAATGACTGGTGACTGGAAGGCAGTTGGTGTTTAATCTATTAGTGAAGCCTGGAGTAGGAAGAATGTATAATCCTTGTTGGAGATATAGTTGTAGTAATCATCCTAAAAGTTGGGAAGTCCTTAATAAAACAAAAAGATAAATGGAACCATAACCATATAGATGGATCCTATATCGTTTTAGATCGCAGTTGCATCTTAGTGCTCGTGTTCAACCTCCCTGTGAAGTTGCTCCTCTGAATGTCTGGTCGATGTCAAAGTTACTTTCTCAATGCAGTATTTAAGTAGCTTAGAGTGCTTTCTTTCATGATATTCCAGCTCACATGCCTATTCTTACAGCGCTTTCAGTAAATGGAGACTTTTTAGATTTACTGTCTCACTTCCTATTTTTTGCACGACAAAGCCCTAGAGTCTTAGAAGTTCAGAGGTAGAGTGAGTGCATCACGGGTGTGATGCATGAACGACTAGGCAGGCAGATGATGCCTGCTGGTTGGTAGTGAGAGTTGGATCTATATCCCGTTCAATGGATTGAGCTATTTCTTATATGTTTCTCCCTGCGGGAAGCATTAGCACCTCAGCTCAATACGCATAGAAGTACAGTATACCTCTATTTAGCTCTACTGGCTTTCTTATACCTATACCTGGAACCCGAGCCCGCTAGGAAGCCTTTCGCTCTTTTAGATCAGCAATCTCAGATCTTCACTTCCTATGCCCTGAAACAGACTTTTCAACTCCCCTCTGAAAGCCTTTCTTAGCTTTATGGCTGATAGCATGACCTTGGTCTTCTTGGTCCCTTGTATCAGAGGAAGGTGAAGAATTAGTTTGCGATTTGAATTACACTTGCTAACTGCTTCTAAGTTGGAAATAAATTGGCTTTGTTAAGTGGATACAAACCATACTTGCAAGGTAGATGTCTTACAATTGGCTGCCTTGTGTGGAAATTTCTCATTGTGTTTGCAAATCTAACTGTTTCTTTGTTCTAAATAAGTAGGACATTAGCAGACATCTTTCAGCAGTTGCATCGTAAATTTGTGCATGGGTGTCTTTGTTTCGCTTCTTAAGAATATCATCTGATGTTTTCAGCTGATTAGTTAATGATGCTACTTTGATGTCACAGGACTGCCGGCGGAGACATCAATTGATAGATATGTAACTGTGGGGGCATACTGTCTCTTGAGATCATGTACGATTGAGCCAGAATGCATCATTGGGCAGCATTCTATCCTCATGGAAGGCTCTTTGGTGGAGACTCACTCCATTCTTGAGGCGGGCTCGGTTGTTCCCCCAGGGAGGAGAATTCCGACCGGGGAACTTTGGGCTGGAAATCCGGCAAGGTTTGTCCGGACTTTGACTCACGAAGAGACGCTGGAAATTCCTAAGCTCGCTGTGGCAATCAACGATCTAAGCAATAGCTATTTCTCAGAGTTTCTGCCCTACTCCACTGTTTACTTAGACGTCGAGAAGCTGAAGAAGAAGTTGGGGATCTCTATCTGAAGATTGATTCACTCTGGCTTGCCATGCTCTCCTTTTTTGTTTCCCAGTTAGCTCGGGTTTATCTTTGCTTGGAAATAAAGAGCTCTTGAACGCAACTGGTGGCTCTTGATTTGTATTCCTTCTTTTTTTTCGTCCCAAAGGTTTGTAGGTTTTAACTTTTCACCAATGGATTGGGAGGACATCTGAATATATGTGCTTTATCATTTAAGAAGACGCAACTGTAATAAATCATTTAGTCCCAGTCTGTCAAATCGATTTGTGCCAGTGTGCCGATTTAGCAAGTGGAATAGTTCGACCGGTGGTACATACCGGTTTGTGCCGGTTCATGCCGGTTAATATTACAAATACTCATATTTAAGCACGACATTTAACGTCAATACCTAAATATTTGTACTTGAATCCAACAAATAACATCAACATTTAACTTTTTAACACATAAAATAAATAATAAATTACTTTTTATCAAATAAATTCACTAATATAAGATCATTTTGCTAAGAGATTCGTATATCGATCATGTCGGTCATACCGGTGGTGTCATACCAGTTTTATGACCGGTATAGGTTAAACCAGGTTCAACCAATGGCACGCCGGCCGTCGTGACAACCATGGTCCCAGTTAACACTTAACAGTTGTAGCTAGCTGCTTCTTCGAGGCATTAAGACAGATTAGTAAAGCTTTTACATAGGTAGGGTAAAAGAAGAAGCTCAAATGCTCTGTAACACTCCGGAAAAATCTTGTCCTCCGGCGACTGTTCCGCCACAAGCTGGCCGTCCACCGGATCCAGGCTCATCCTCGCATCCTCCACAGCAATCCACGATTTCTGATCCGGTGAGCTTCCCTCCGCTCAACTTCAAGATGGCTCTTGCCGGTCCAACACAGGCCACACCGTCCAAGTTAAATCAATGGACCTTCGTCGGAGAACACGACCTTGAACCCGGGTTATTTGGCGGTGAGCCGGAGCTCAATGTTTCAGATAAGTTCAAAGATCGTCTCTGCTTCCCATGGAAGAAAACTCTTGTGGTCAGACTGCTCAGGCGTTCGATTTCCTATGCATATCTGTGCTCACAACTCCGGTGGAAATGGCGCCCAACTGGAAGACTGTATATCCTGTATCTGAACGACAGAACCTTCCTGGTCATGTTTCACAACGACCAAGATTTTCTTCACGCCCTCACCGGGGGACCATGGACAATCCTTGATCACTATCTTGTTGTCCACCAATGGTCGCCGTCATTCAGAACGGCAGATAAACCCCACAAATCGGTCGTAGCGTGGATCCAGCTGTCGGAGCTTCCGATTCATTTTTATCATCGGGAGGTCCTGTTTGCCTTGGGGAACCTTATTGGCAGAACAGTGAAGCTTGATTATCATACGGACTACATGGAACGTGGGAAGTTCGCTCGAATAGCGGTGAAATTAGACATGACGAAGCCGCTGGCGACCCGCATCCGGCTGGATGGATTCTGGCAACCGGTTCTCTATGAGAATTCACCAGAGATATGCTTTGCGTGTGGCAGGATAGCCCATACCGAGGAGTCTTGCTCTAAGAAAGTGTGTAATACTGCGAATGCTATTTCGACGGCAGTGATTCCCGTTCCTCCCATTGAAGGGACGTCGCCGTCGTCGGAGTCTCCCGCCGGCTACGGGCCGTGGATGCAAGTAACAAGGAAGAGTAAAAAACAAAATAGGAAGGTAGCGCAGAATCCGGTCAGCAACCAGGGCGGAGACTCCGGCCGCGGTGGAATTTTAGGGAAAGTCAATCAGAAATCGAATCAACAAGGAAAGGATGATCCGATCAGAGCCAACTTAGGAAAGGATGGGAAAGGAAAGGCGGCGTCCAAGGCAGAAGACAAGAAAGGCAGTAATTCGAATCCGAAAGTGAAAGTGGCGGGGAACGACAACGGATCTTTGCCAGAGAAAAATGGAACAACGATTCAGGAATGGCGGCCCGTTGGGGAGGATCTCAAGTCAGGAAAACAGACTGGGCCAAGCCCAACAAACCCATTGACAGACCAAACAGTGGTTGCGGGGTTATCGAGCCCAGCCCCTGGTACCTCTGCTCTGTCGATCCCCTCTCTGTCACAGCCAAAAACGAAAGAAAACACTGACCCCAATCGACCGACATCCTCGATTCGCCACCGCTCCCAGAAACTAAAATCCCAGCACACTCCGGTGAGGGAAAGTCAAGCCGAAAATCATGAAGGAGCCATCTAAAAAGCCATTGACCCAGACTTCCCAAACGACGAGGAAGTTGTTGCAAGAATTGTCCAGGACGCCCAATTTCCCCATCAATCCTCAGTCCATTACGGAGTTCATGGCTAACTTGAAGAGGCCTGCCGATGGAGTTCAGCAATTGGATGGTGGCAAAGTTAATGATTTGACTATGTTAGACAATAGTGACCCGCCCAATGCCTCTCCCCTGGCCATTGAAGCTTCTGGGGGCCAGCCGGCCACCGAAACCTAGCGCTTGGGCGCCCTCTCTCCCTTCCCCTTTCATTTCTATGATTAAGTTATTTTTTTGGAACTGTCGTGGGCTAAAAACCCCAAATTTCTTGCGATTTTCAAAGACTATGTGTTTACCCACCGCCCTAATTTGATTTTCATCGTTGAGCCTCGTATTAGCGGCAAGGATGCTCTGGATGTTATTAGTAAAATGGGTTTTGATAAGCATGAAGTGGTAGAGGTTGTGGGATTTTCGGGGGCATATGGGTTCTGTGGAATTCCTCTGTCTTCTCCATTTCTATTTTGGATCGTAGTTCTCAGATGCTCCATTTTCGTTGTGTGAATGTGCAGGATAATCGAGCAGTGCTCCTCACGGCAATCTACGCCAAACCTAATGACCATGATCGTTTGCCGTTGTGGGACACACTTAGAAGACTGGTTATTGGCTGGCGATTTTAATTTTATCAGAGGCCCTTCGGAGAGAATAGGAGGGGCGGCCTACAACCCAGCGAATTCAGCTAACTTCAACAGATGCATTGACGACTGTGGGCTGTTAGATGTGGATTTCAGGGGGCCAAGGTTCACCTGGGTCAGGGGAAACCTCTTCTCCAGACTGGATCAGGCACTTTGCAATGCTGAATGGATGAGTTGTTTCCCATATACGATCACTAATCACCTGCCCCGGCTCCGATCAGACCACAGACCTCTTCTCATCTGCTCTTCCAATGACCAAACACACAAAAAGCAGAAGAGGCCCTTCAGGTTTCTAGCCCCGTGGCTCACCCACAAGGACTTCCAACCCACGCTAGAGAATTCCTGGAATTTTGGAGCTGACTTCCTCGACTCCCTCCAAGGCCTTCAACACACTCTCTCAATTTGGAATAGGGAGGTCTTTGGTAACATATTCAAGAGAAAAGCAACACTCACCAAACGTCTTGCTATCGCCGAAGTCAGGAATGATTCTGCCCCTGATCCCTACGGCCTCCAGCAAGAAGCCTTATTTCGCGATGAATTGGAGCAAACCTTGTGGCAGGAGGAACTGCTCCGGATGCAGAAAGCTAGAGCGGGCTGGATTAATTTTGGGGATAAAACACTTCTTTTTTCCGTAATGCTGCCCTGACTAGAAGTCGTCGGAATAAAGTCTCAAAACTAAAATCTACGGATGGAGCCTGGGTGGAAGATCCCCAATTACTGGAAGATATGGCAAGGGACTTCTATGTCGCTCTCTTTACCGAGGATGTAGGTATAAGACCTCTCTTAGTTGCCATGTTTCCAGTGATTGAGGAGAGTGCTATGCGTGGTCTGGCTGCAATACCCACGGAAGAAGAAACCTGCAGGATCATCAAGGCGATGGGTGGTCTCAAGGCCCCGGACAAGGATGGGTTCCATGCGGTGTTTTATCAGAAATGCTGGGCTTCTATCGGCAAGGACTTTCACCGTCATTTTGTCCAGTGCTTCAACGAACCGGATCACATTGCCAGTTGTAACATGATCCTTCTTTCCTTGCTGCCCAAGGTTGATTCTCCATCGTCCATGGGCCAGTTTCGACCGATAGGTCTCTGTAATGTGAGCTACAAGGTACTAGCTAAGTGTCTGGCAGATCGCTTAAGGAATATCATTCCCAAGCTGATCGATGAGAATCAGAATAACTTCGTCCCCAATAGACACATCACGGACAACATCATTATTCTTCAGGAAGTAGTCCACTCGCTTGGCCAGCTAAAGGGAACTCGTGGCAGCATGGTTCTGAAGATTGATCTAGCCAAAGCGTATGACAGAGTCAATTGGGAGTTTCTGCATTCCACCCTGGTAGCAGGAGGCCTTCCTACGGACTTTATCAATCTGATTATGGCGTGTGTAACAACCTCTAGTTTCCAGGTCCTCTAGAATGGAAGCTGTACGGACTCATTCAAACAGTCACGAGGCTTAAGACAGGGATGCCCCCTTTCTCCCTATCTTTTCACTTTATGCATTGAACGTTTGAATCATTGTATTAAAGAGTCTGTTGGTAATGGAGATTGGGTTCCTCTGCATTTATCTAAGAATAGCCCTGCACTGACGCATTTCTTTTTTGCAGATGATCTAGTGCTTTTCGCTGAAGCTGATACGAAACAGGGGATGGCAGTTCTCAATTGTCTTGATAGATTCTGCGCAGCCTCTGGGGAAGAAGTGAGCAAGGACAAGTCGTGCATCTTTTTCTCGAAGAACACCAAGGAACAGAATAAGAGAAGAATTAGTAGATTGCTGGGCATGAAGCAGACTGATAACTTAGGCAGATATCTAGGTATACCGGTAATCCATGGTCGCGTCACTAAGGACACGTACAAGTATGTTCCGGAGAATTTGGACAAGCGCCTGGCGGGTTGGAAGACTCGAAGTCTCTCTTTAGCAGGTCGTGTCACCCTCGCTCTCTCGGTGCTGAACGCCCTCCCGAATTACGTGATGCAAACGGTTGTCCTCCCATGCCACATTTGCGAGGCGATCGATAGAAAGATCAGGCGGTTTGTTTGGGGAGATGAAGAAGGACACACCAAAGCTCACCTCGTCTCATGGGAGAATATTTGTAAGCCGAAAGAGGAAGGGGGCCTGGGTCTTCGTTCGGCACGTGCGCTTAATCTGGAATATTTGATGAAACTAGGATGGATCTTCCTTAATGATGAAAAACCTCTTTAGATCCGAGTTTTGCAAGAAAAGTATGTCAAAGCGAATGATAATGGCAGCGTGTCGATGCGTCAACAACGGGTCTCTATACTTTGGAAGGGGATCTTGGAAGCCCTCCCACTTGTGAAACAAGGAACTGTATGGGACATTATGAATGGGGAGAGTGTCAATTTCTGGCACGATTCTTGGGTCGCTGAAGGTATTAACCTCAAGGACTATGTAGACGATCAAGGCGGTGCTGTGGACTGGAACGCCTCTGTTGCCCACATGGCCATTAGCCCAGGTGAGTGGAATTGGTCGCGCTTTGAAGCTTATCTCCCTGACTCCATTAATCTTCTTATCGTAGGGCTAGATGCGCCAAACCAGGAATCGGGTGAGGATCGGACGACGTGGGGAATGGAGCAGGATGGGAAGTTCCGGCTGGGATCAGCTTACACTGTCGCGGTTGATTGGCTTAGTAAGGGGGAAGGGAGTGCAGCACCAGCCATTGCAGCTCCTACCTGGAAGGCAATTTGGAGATGGGACGGTCCAAACATAATTCGGCATGTTCTATGGCTAGCCTTCCACAACCGATTAATGACGAACTACAAGAGAAAAAGGCGAAATATCAGCTTTCAAGACACCTGCGAGCCGTGCAAAGCTGAACCCGAATCCACTGAACACATCTTGCGACACTGTGCGTCGGCTACTCAGGTATGGCAAGCGCTTGGGATATCAGATTCAACTCTAACTATTGGTCTCAACCTGACAGATTGGATGGCAAGGAATCTCAAAGACTCGAGGACTGGGCTGCTGTTCGGAGTTGCAGCGTGGTACCTTTGGAAGAGAAGGAATGATTGGATTTTTAACAATAAGCAACAAGAAACGCACACTCTTGTCCAAAGAATACAAAGCTAGACCAATACCATTCGAGAAGCACAAAGCAATGAAAGGGCCATCCATACTCTGCAACAAAGAAAGACCACGACTGAAGTTGCTTGGATTCCCCCCAATCCTGGCTGGGTTGTGGTCAATTCTGATGGTTCTGTTAAACACCCGGATTTGCTGGCAGCTGCAGGAGGTCTGGTGCGTGATAGCTCTGGTAAATGTCTAGGTGCGTTCGCCTCTAATCTCGGAGCTTGCACCATTACTAGGGTAGAGCTGCTGGTTGCTATCCAGGGGCTTCGTCTTGCCTGGAGCTTGGGTTACCGCAAAGTGGAGTTGAGAATTGATTTGATGGTCACTCTCGGCATAATGACTACACTTGGGCCGTATGAAGGTCGCTATCACAAACTTTGGAGGCAATTCCAGAGCCTCTTGTCATCAAGAGTGGGAGGTTCATATCTCTCATACGTTTAGAGAAGGAAACAAAGTAGCTGATTATTTGGCTAATAAAGGCCATTCTCTTGGTTTAGGATTTCATGTTGTTGAGCCTAATGACTCGGGGCTTAATTTTTGGCTCTTGTATGACTCTATGGGCATTGCCCAATCTCGTTTAGTTTAAAGTATCAGGCAGGGGCTCCCTTTTAGCTTCCCATTTTTCTAAAAAAAAACGTTGTAGCTAGCTGTTAAAATTTTTATCCAAATTTATTGCTAGTGGAGTTTACCTATGGTTACTAAGGACGTCCATGATGACTCGCCTGCCATTTGTGCTATAAATTCTTCTGCCCACAGTTTAGTCCATTCATATCCTAATGAAAGATGGGTCATAGAAAGCGAATAGGAACTTGGGGAGTTAGAATTGAAGAGCAAAACTAGAATATTCTCCATATGTCCCGTGTAAGTCAACAAGGATGTACCTTGTAACAATTGATCAAAACCGTTTGTGATGAATTTGGATATGTTTGATAAAAAGGCGTTATAAATGGATTACAATGCTCTAGTTAGAAATCATTACATGTGGACGAGTGGTACGAGCACGAATCCAGTACCCATATTGATCAAAGTAACGCAGCTAAGAACAAAAATAAAAGATAAGGATAGGTTGGAATTGAAGTGCAGTCTCACACCTATGAGAGTGCTCTATCAATATAAGGGTAGAATCTCGACCAAAAGTAAGGGGAAAACTCGAATGATATAGAGAACAATTCACAAGCAAAACACTCAATGAGCCAAGATAAAATCAATATTCTTTTTCAAAATCTGACCTAAAACTCGTGTTTAAGCCTTTATATAGCATAGGACAACCAAATTCATCCAAATACATAAAAGAAAAAAAATCCTAAGTCGACAATTAAACTAACTCGTCATACTCCCGATCCCCGCGTTGGATCTTTGAATCCCCGGACGAGAAAAACATGATTTACCCCGGGGAATAGCCCCTGTTAAAAATTCCCGGGAGGGGATTTTTATATTCACCCATGACATTTTGGCACCGTCCACCTTCTTGCTCCCACATGGCATGCCCTTCTTCCCGCTTTGATTTGGGTCATTTTGGAGGCTATGGAGGCTCGCATCAGCCCATCTCCTTTAGAAAAGCTTTGCCCTCAAAGATGGAGTGTACTTGTAAGAGACAACATCAACAGAATTCCCAAATGGAATTATGCTTAGCGGAGTCAACATGTGCCTTCGAGCAAGAACATGAGTTCCACCTCCGTTTTCCGACTTCGATCCACTTGCATTTCCTTTCTCTCTTGCCCAATTCAGCTCCATCAGTCGTTAATCATCTTGGAACTCATATGGCGTCAATGGTTTGAGCAGGAACTTTCGATCGCATTGCGTGAACAAGTAACTATTCCGCCTTCCGTCTTGAGTAACTCCACGATCAGATTGTCACGAACGACCCAATAAGAGATGAATAACCTGCATTGGAGCAACATCAACAGACTTCATATGCATCACCAATATGAAATAAAACCTTGGCCTTCTTATTGACATTGATGGCTCCATAGTCGTTCAACCAATAAAGGTTGTAAGGATGTGGATGCTTAATAGTACTCAATCCTAGCTTCTTAACTGCATCAAGACTAACTAAATTGGTGCAACTACCACCATCGATCACCACATGAAACAAATTTCCATCCATTAGGCAGCGAGTATGAAATAGATTATCTCGTTGTTCTTGTTTAGTTAGAGATTCAAGGGAGAGCACCCTACGATTAACTCCAAGAAACTTACCCGTTGGAGGAATATCATTAGTAATGTGCTTGTCAACTTCATCATCATCAGAATCGATTTCCTCCCCTATTGGCTTCTCTTCATCCTCTTCGTCTGAATAGTATTCTCCATCTCGCATAACTAGAGCTGTCTTGTTGGGACACTGGTTTTCCTTGTGACTTCGTCCCAAGCACTCGAAGCATTGGATGCTTCTAGTTGATCCTTCATTGTTAGCTTGGATGACTAGGACAATGTTTCTAATAGTTGGTTTGTCACCTTCTTGCCTAGGGTGATTCATAATAATCTCAGGAATGCTCTTTGCAACATGTTTGGGTGAAGGTGAGTACATTCTCCCCGAATTCACCTTCAACTGCTTCTCCACCTTAATGGCTAGGTGAACCACTTCTTCCAGCTCCACAAACAGACAAAGTTCAACTTCGTGCCTAATCTTTCTGTTGAGGCCATGTAGGAAGCGCAAAAATTGTAGCTTTCTTATCTTCCCTCACATCTGCCTCATCAAGAGAAGTTCAAGCTCCCGCAAATACTTTTCAACAAATCGTGCTCCTTGCCGAATCCCCCTGCAAAGAATCAAACAGTTCTCTTTGATAGTACCCTGGCACGAACCTGTCTTTCATGAGCCCTCTCAATTTAGTCCAAGTTGTCACACTCGGCTGCAGATTCCTTCTTCTCTTGAGCTATACTTGCTCCCACCATACGGCTGCATAATCAGTGAATTCATATATGGCTAGGTATACCTATTGTTGCTTGTTGTAGTTACCACATTGGAAGAACATGACGATCTTCCTCTCTTAATCCAGGTATGCAGAAGCATTGAGAGATCCTTGAAATGAAGGAGCTGAAATCTTGATCCCTCGTATTTAAGCAATGGTACCTTCGCATCCCACCTTGGTGGCCAATCATCTAAAGTCATATCTCGAAGCGGTGGAAATGAAAGTATGGAGAATTGATTGACAAAAGTGAGCTTTTGGTTTTGAGAAAATAACGGAACTTTCCAATAGTTTACTATTAATCGCGAGTTAAAAGGAAGAAAAAAAAGAAAATACGAACACACCTCTCAAGGGAATACCTCAATAGAGCTGTTAGGCCCAATTGAAGTGAATCACAAGAACCGTAATCACGAAGAAGAATCAGTCAGAATGAATGAATGGGGAATCGAGTGACAAAGGTGAGCTTGGGGTGTTGAGAATGCAGAAAAAGTGAGGAGAAGAAAGAGGATCGAAGAAAATGGAGTTTGCAAGGAAACCGCGATTAATCCTTCGCACCGCAGCAAATTCAAAATGCTCAAAATCTCCCAAGACTCCGCCATAGTGCCATATCCTGTCCTATCCTACCACTTATTTATAGAGGTTCTCCATCATAACACACTACATTCAAAATTTCCTGCGATCTGAGTAATTTTAGGAGGGATATATTTGTCACTTGAATTATTAAGAAGAAAATACCGAGCACATTATTTTTAATTAACTAACTTTTTTTACGAATTAATTAACTAACTTTAATGAATTAAAAGACCCAAGTTCCCTATTTTTCTATCCATTCCAATTCTTCCGTAAGAAAAGGTTCCTCAATTTTTATTTCGTACATAACTTGGGATAATTAATAAAATCAATGTCATATTATCCACTTAGGATTTATATATTTCCGTAAGAACAAAATCAATGATATTTCCAAAAGAAAATGTGATTTATATTATTGTTAATTTATTAACAGATTACGTATAGAACTCAAGGTGCATAATTGATACAAGTTTTACCGTTAAAAAAAGGTGCATAACTTATCCTTTATTAGTTCTTAATAAATGATATTTCTTTTTTATAATTCAAATTAAAAAAATTTAACTAAAAATTAAACTCAATATATTGTTTAAAATTATATTCATTTTAACATATTTTGAATTTGGAATAAAAACCTGTTAGTCTAATCATATATAATAGCATTCATGAATTATCAATTCTTCTAAAATGGTACCTGATCTCTACAACAATTCCTTATAGTATTGCCATCATTAATTTTTCATTAGATTATTATGAAAGTGGGCCTCACCTTGCTGACTAGATTTCCACTAATCTCCCAATCTTCTTAAAGTCAACTTAGAATGATCATGCTAGTTCCCACTTAATTAATTCATGATTTACAAATTAGAAATAAACCACCATAGGTAGAAGATGTCATTCATGGCAGGTTTAATTATTCTCATTGTCAATCACTAAACTTTCGTAAACCATTTTTACAAATTGGGCAACCAAATATGTACATATACAAGAAAAAAAGAAGAAAGGATCTACGGGAGAATAGCCAATGCCTACTGGTTATTCATTAATTTTCCAATTTACAGATAATCAAATTTTGTGTTGGTCGCAGGGTTGTTTATCAGTGTTATGGGGAAAAAAAATCTCATGAATGAGGCGTTAATTTACCTACTACAATATAACCTGCCTCGACCCAAGATCCCAACATAACAATTCCATTTTTTCTAAATTTAGAAGTAAATAGGTGTAAACTTTTAATGTGTGAATTACCGAAAAAACTTTTAATGTGTGTAATGTAGTGTTTCCGAACATTTTACCATTAAAGATTGGCTTCCAATGAAAAATAAGTAGGAACAACCTATTATGAAGAAGAAAGTTACTTTAAGGAAGACAAAGGCATTGGTAATTGGAGGAGATGATGGTGCTATAGAAGGTGGAGGCAGAGCGATCAGAAAAAATTCAAATTGAATTTTTCAATAATTATTGACATCGAGTAGCAGATGCCAGATAGTGTGACCATCTCATTAAATTCTTATGAGTCAATTTCCTTGCATGACTTCTGTTTTTAACTTTGAGTAAGGACTTCAATCAATAAATCGGGTTACAATGTTGAAAATTATATGAGTATGATATTTCCAGTAACTAAATTATTTGAAATTTTTATGATATGAAATAAAACATTTTTTTGCTTCAAATAATTACTAAGGTTATTTATACTATTAACAAAATTCACCCGGCCAACGACGGGTGCTAATCTAGTATTATAGAGTGATTTTATATATAAATTTTATCATTTATTTCTTTGAGAGAAGAGGGATTGCGAGATAATTTTTTGGGATAATTAGTTATATCATCATTATTTATTACTAATGATAACTGTTACTCATTCAAAAAATAATTATTGTTTCTCAATTATTTCGAATAGTAGCCAGTAGCATTACTTTATGATAAAATTTTGGTTTATGTCCTTGAATCCATAGTATTAGTAATTCTATATATTTTTTTATTTCCACTAGTTTTTGGTTTCATTGGTACTATTTACGTGATTCACTATTATTTGGTTTCATTGGTACTATTTACGTGATTTATAATGTAGTAGTAGTGGTTTTCATGGTTCCAATAGCAGTGGGTTATTGTCTTCTTATGCCCTGTTCACTTTCCATTTCATTTTCTGTTTAAAAAATGAAAATCAGGAAACAAATGACATTTAAACGTGTTCATTTGACCATTCCATTTTCCATGAAAAAACCCAATTATTACAAATGGGAAAGCTTTGGGAAAACGATTAATACCTGTTTTCCGAAATCAATGATCAAGTCCTAGCAGCAGCACGTATGATCAAGTAACGGTTTAAGTATTTAAATGGGTTAATACCTTATTTTGGCCCGAGTTATGATCATAAAACCAATTTTGGCTCGTGGTTTTAGAAAATAACATCTTGGTTTCAACTATGCAGCATATAGACTCAATTGGCCCGACACATGATTTGACTGACAATTTGGATGGTCAACACCGTTGACGGTTAGTCAACATGCCATGCCATTGTCTCGTCAGTCTAAAAAAGTATTAAGAAAATCAAAATCAAATTATTTTTCTAATTTCTATTATTTATCATTTTCAAATTAACCAAAAAGTAAAATTAAAAAATTTTAAAATAAAATTTATATTTTATTTTTTTGGGATATTTGAAAATGAAAATTTATAAATCAAACAAAAATTATCAAATTTAATTTTATAAATTTAAAAAATATGATATAAATTATCTATTTTAGTTTTTTGTAATGTTAAATATATAAAATTATTTGATAATTTTTGGTTAATTTATTAAATTTATCATTTTCAAATTACACAAAAAATAAAAAAAATAAATTTATTTTATGTTTTTTAAATTTTTTTAAAATTTGATTATAATAATAAAGATTAAAACAAATAGGTTGAATTTTTTTAATGATTTTTAGGCTGACGAGGCAATGACATGGCGTGTTGACTAACGGTCAATGGTTTTGACCATCCAAATTGACGGTCAAACTAGGTGTTGGGCCAATTAAGTCTATATGTAGAATACTAAAATAACATGCATCATGTTTTAACCTAGTTTATTGATAACACCTAAAATAGGTTTTTTCATACTTTCAATTTTGGTGGTTTCATGGATATTTAACCATATTGAGTCCAAAATCCTAACATTTTTAGTTCAAAATTGTTTCATAATTATCCTTGATTGTAAAACCATGGCGTATCGTACGGGTGGTCTGACCGAGAAACTCAAAAAGATACCAGCCAATTAAAATCTAGAAATAGAATACTAAAAATATTTTAATTTCACCTCCTAAATCTGTCTCCTCTCAAAATCAAGGATAGATCTGGTGATACAGAAATGTATAATAAAAAAATATATAGACCCTATGAAGAAATATCATCAAATTAAATGATAAAATTCACAAATGAATTTGAAGTGAACACAACACCTCAATAACTACAAACTAATTGACAATGCCATATTTCGTTATCATGAAATTGGTATTCATAATTCTTGAGTAGATAGGTACGTTTAAAATTATTAATCTTTGGGAGTCCTAATTCGGGTCCAAATGCATACATTTTATCCTTTATTTCTTGTCTGTTTTGCTTAGTAGATCACCGTCCCTTGACCTATTTTATGCTAGATTGTGTTTGTTTTGATACATTTCAGGTACTAGTACGTGTGGGAAGGTCGAGGAAAAGTTTTGGGTCGATCAGAGGTCGAAAAGTGCCAAAAAGTGAAAAAACGACCGTGACAATTGCCCCGTAACCGTGAAACGCGGGCGCCCTGGAAAGTAGTCGCAGTTCACGGTCCAAGCAACGAGTTCACGGTCACCAGGACCGTGAACTGGAACCAAAAACCATGAACCAAATGGTGTCTAGAGGAGTTTCAGAGGTTACTGACTACGACCGTGAACTTCAGCTCCAGACCGTGAAATGTTGTAGTGAAACAGCGCGAATTGGTTCGAGTTCACGCTCCAGACTTTGAGTTCATGACTGTGAATTCAGACGGTGAACAGCCTTCGATCTGGGTATAAAAGGCAGCAGCACAAGGAAGATAAAGGGAAGGTTTTTGGAGAGGAATTAGTTTCTTTCTCTAGGGTTTCAACCTAAAACATTGAAGGGGAGTTCTAGAGAGAGTGTGAGTGCTTGAGTGATCTTGGAGCTTAATTGAAGGCATTGATCAAGTTTGGAAGCAAGGAATCAAGCCTAGAAGAAGAAGAAGATGATGATATTGTGCTCCAATTTGTAAAATCTATCTCCTCTCTCTAGAAACTCACCCTCTTCTCTTGGTTTAAGAACCCTAGGTCTAGATTTGGGTTTAATGTTGATGTATGTGACATATTCCATGTTTGATTGATGATTTTACTTAATTGATGTATGTTTTCATGAATGACATGAGTTGGGTTTCCATTTTCATGTATTGAGCTTTAGACCTAGGAGGGAGAAAATCCCTTTAGAGCCCATTATTGGCGCCTTTGGGTCACTCCTCACCCTATATCGTCCCGATAATCCCCGAGGGAGTCGATTTCATCAATCTCCTACGATATAGGGTTGTCCTAGGTTGAATGGAGCCTACCACATTCATCGATTCACCGTTTCGGGTCATTCCCGAGGGAGTCTATCTCCTAACAGTAGAGTAATTGAGACAATCGAGCTTTTGACCTAGGAGGGAAACAACTACTCACCCCATATCGTCCTGGAAATCCCCGAGGGAGTCGATTGGATCGATCTCCTACAATATAGGGGTGACCTAGGTTGAATAGGGCTCCTACCCATCCATCACTTCACTATTCCGGGTCCGTCCCGATGGGGTTCATCTCCTAACGGTAGGATAGTGGGTCAATCGAACTAGGAGGATACTCAACATCGATCAAAAGGTCGGAAATAGGGGGATTTAACCCAAGGGATCTCCAAACCTTGTAAATAGCTAGGTTAGTGGTTAGTCTAGGTTAGTTAGTTTAGTTGTATTAATCACTACTCTAGGTTGACTAGATAACGGACCCTAAAAATTAAGTAGGGTAAACCTAGATCCCC